CCAGGCTGGAGTGCAGTGGTGTGATCATGGCTCACTGCAACCTCAAACTCCCAGACAATCCTCACACCTCAGCCTCCCAATAGCTGGAACTACAGGCACACACCACCATGCCCAGCTAATTCTTAAATTTTTTGTAGAGATGTGGGGGGTATCACTATGTTGCCCAGGCTGGTGTTGAACTCCTGGGCTTAAGCGATCCTCTGGCCTCAGCCTCCCCAAATGTTGGGATTACAGGTATGAGCCACTGCACCTGGCCAATTTTCTTAAAAACACTTAAGCTGAAAAGAACTTTATATCACAGAATTAGGTTGTAAGCCTCTTACGGGTAGGGGCCATGCCTTTAGTTTTGTTTGCATCATTTCTCTGGTCACTATACCTCCTCCCTAGAATCTGATACATGGGTATGAATCCTTCTTCAGGAAAACCTGGGCAGCAAAACCTCAATTTAGGAAACCTCAGTTAATGTATTTAAGTTTTGTAAATATAAAAGCCAAAATTTGCACTTACAAAAAGATTTACAAAAAGGTTTCTTCAAATAGTGAATTTCTCTGCATTTAAAATGTTTTATTCACAAATGTTTACGTTTACAAGCCCATTTTGGCTATTTTCTTGATGTAAAATATTTTACACTTGAACAAAGATTAGTTATTGAAAAAATGGAAGAGATGAAAACCAAGTAAGCCTTTTACAATTAAGATAGAATGAATTTAAACATGACTTCTGGTTATTTAAAAATTATATTAAAGGCTGGGTATGGTGGCTTACACTATAATCCCAGCACTTTGGGAGGCGGAGGTGAGAGGATTTCTTGAGCCCAGGAGTTTGAGACTAGCCTGGGCAATAGAGCAAGACCCCTGTCTCAAAAAAAAAAAAAAAAAAAAAAGGACAAGAAAAATATTATATGAAGCAAGATATTCTTTTTAAAGCAGGTAGTACAATGCCTGACATATAGTAAGCACTCAAAAAATTCAGCAGCTTTTATTAGAATACTGTTAGAAAATGAGATTTAGAAAATGAGGTTAGAAAATCTCAGGCTATTTCTTTTAGCATAGTATTATTTCATATCCTCACATTGGAGTTCAGTCATTTGAGAGTCAATCAATCAACATTTATAGAATATCTATGTGCTAATATAATATCTAATTATATTAGTGTCCATTGTTCTGGACACTAGAGATATGAGACTAGCAATTATCTAATTCAACCCATCACTTTACCAGGAAAAAAAACCAAGGCATAGACAGGATGAAGTGATTTGTTCATGGTTATTCTACTGCTAAATAGCAAAGCTGGATGCTTTTTCTACCACCTCTTTTCAAATAGCAGCATTTGATAAATGCATGTGGACTTGACTGGACAATCTATTCCCCAGGAGGCTAAACGAGACCATTTTCCTCTGACATGGTGTAAAATAAGTCCACAAATCTGGCACTCCCTTCAAAAAGGAAGACTATCTTTCCCTTGAATATAGGCTGGCCTTAATGACTCATTTCTAACGAACCGAAAAATGGTAGAAGTCATAGTGTACACCTCTGGAGACGAGGTCAGGAAAGGCCCTGTTATTTCCTGCTTGCTTACTCTGGGGGAAGTTAACTGCTATTGTGAGGGCATCCAAGCAGCCTGTGGAGATGCAAGGAAGCTGAGGCCTGCAGCCAACAGCCTTGTCAGTGAGTCGGCTTGGAAGTGGAGCCTGAAGCCCCACTCAAGTCTTTGGATGACCATAGGCCTGCTTGACCACAATCTCACGAAAGACCCTGAGCCACAACCACTGGGCTAAACCAATCCCAGTGTCCTGACCCTCAAAGAATGTATGAAGTAATAAATGTTTGCTATTTGAAGCTGCTAAGTTTTGAGGTGATTTGTTACGCAGCAATAGAGAACTAACACTCTCTCTTATTGCCACTTTGTTTTCACTCCTGCCCTTCCATGACTTCCCTGTAATGCCTTATTTTATAGTTTATATTCTTATGGCAATGATTGATACTTTTTTTTAGTTCTAAAATTTTTACTATATTTATTTATTTAACAGCTTTACTGAGATACAATTTACATACCATAAAGTTGGTGGACACATTTAAAAAATTGTAATAGAACATAAAACTTACCATTTTAACCACTTTAAAGTATACAATTCAGTGGCAGTAAGTACATTTATGTTGTGTAACCATGACCACTATCTAGTTCCAGAACTTTCTCCTCCCCCAAATGGAAGCCCCATACCCATGGCTGACACATTTTGAAAAATTAATTTTATTTTGTCCCTCAAATCTGAAACAATCACGTAGTAACACAGAAAAATGAGCTCACAATTAAATAAGCAAAACCTTCTTTAAAGGTAAAAAATTTGCCAGGCACAATGGCTGACGCCTGTAATTCCCAGCACTTTGAGAAGCTGAAGTGAGTGGATCACTTGAGGTCAGGAGTTCCAGACCAGCTTAGCCAACATGGTGAAACCCTGTCTCTACCCAAAATGCAAAACACAGCCGGGTGTGCTGGTGTGTGCCTGTAATCCAGCTACTCGAGAAGCTGAGGCAGGAGAATAGTTTGAACCTGGGAGGCGGAGGTTGCAGTGAGCTGAGATCACACCACTGCACTCCAGCCTGGGCGACAGAGCGAGGTTCTGTCTCAAAAAAAAAA